TTTTACTGTTATTTCTGTCTGCAGGATGATGGAGCAGAGCCTCCACGGTGAGGTGATGAAGACTCAGGACCTCCCGGATGTGATTGTCTCTGTCAGCAGGAACCCCCGTGGCTACAAACTGGCCTGGGACTTCTTCCGAGCAAACTGGCACACCCTGATCAAGAAGTCAGTCAGCCCCCTCATGCATACTACTTTTTTTGCAGTTTTGACTCAGATTTTGCAACTATGTGTGAGCCAAAAATGCTTGATTTCTACTACTAGTTTTTACTAGCTTGTCATGTACAAAGAAAGACTCAAACTGGATTCCTTTAAGATTGAAAACTCAGCAGAGTCAGGAAGATAGATTTTTTTTCAATATCTCTGTAGAGACAATGTTTGTTTTTTCTGCGCAATGTTAACAAAACTAAACTTTGAATTGTGTCTCTGTTTTCTTCAATGCCACAGATTTGACTTGGGCTCTCACACCATATCATACATGGTGACCGGGGTAACCAGTCAGTATTCTACCAGGGAGATGTTGAATGAGGTAAGCAAGGCTGTGTGTCCACACTTAGGGCTTCCCTTACTTATGTCTCTCTATAGAAAGTGTGTGCTGCTATATTTTAAATATTCATTCATCATTCTCATTATTTATATATGTAAATAAGTGTAAATTCATTCATGTTTTCTTTGTCTCGTATGTTTCCCTTTTTGCTGTAATTTTGTTCCTAATGTAAAAGAAAATTTTTTTTCATGGGAAAAATAACTATTTACCATGAACAGCAGGTTGTAAATTGACAAGTGGACATTCTATGTAACTAAATACAGTATATTCATCTTTTCTGCTGTACGTTAGCATGTTTAATAGATGTCATGTCAAAGATTGTTTTAAAGTCTACCTTCTCTGTACTCAGGTGAGAAGCTTCTTTGGCTCCCTGACCGAGGAGACGGGCTCAGAGATGAGGTGTATCAGGCAGGCCTACGAGACCATCGAGGATAACATCCGCTGGATGGACACCAACCTTCCTTTGCTGCAGGCCTGGCTGGACAAACGCAGCCGCAGAGACGTGCATGAAGACTTATAGCTCCAGGGTAAATAAATAAATAAATAAAAAAGTCTAGATTGGACAGTCATGTCGGTAAAGGAGTAAACTTCAAGGTGTGGATGCAAGTCACAAAACTTGGAGTCAGATTATGAATCCAAATTTTAATGAGTTTACAGCCTTGCAATTCAACTTTGATTTTTAACACCAATGACTCCTGATCTAGCTTCCCAAAATGTAGATTGGAAAAACAAAACAAACAAAAACCTTTGGATCTTGTGTCATCGTCCTCATATTTTTAATCACCCCAGACTTGACTGAGCTGACTTGAGACTTATGTGTCAACTAACGTGCTACTTATGACAAAACAATGACTTTGTGCCCCCTCTGTAAACCACAGCCTGAAGACTGTCCACTGGGGGTGTTTCTCAGGTTCAAAGAGATCTAAGTAATTATAGATTTCCTTAAAGAACCTCCATAGGGTCGAGGTTTAAGGAGGTAACATCCCTATGAAAAAAGGGTTCTTCCTCACCCGAACATTTGTGCTCAGAGCTGTCAGTGTGTGTTTGTATGTTTGTTGGGGTGTGTGTTTGTCTTGGGTGAAGTGGAGTGGGGGTGTGTGAGTTTTTACCTGAAAGTTTTAGATGTTCAAAGATGAGTGTAGTGTTTCCTGTGTGATTTTTATGAAGTCAATTTTCATTCTTTCTGCATTATCACTGCAGCAAGCAACAGCATAAATATTGTATGAATATGAATTATTTCTAAAATATTTAAGTACCAGACCACTCCTTCATGAAAACAAAAATAATGCACCTAATGGACTTGATTTTTGGATTGTTAAACCATAATTGATCTAAATATGTTTAATTTAAAGATCACACTGCTGTAAGTTTAGATGGGACACCATTTTTACAGCTTTTGTTAGCTTGCATTTCCAATATTGGGAACATTAATATCAATTCTGACACCACTGGTCCTTCTAGGTAGCATTTTTAACTTTACTGAAATTCTCATACAGAAGAATGTGAAAGAACTTAGAAAGTGCACTATTAGGAGTGTGTTGTTACAAAAACATGTTCATCTTATTAAACACAGCAGTGTTTTATGCTACTGTAAAATCCCTCTTCTGTAGGACAGGATTCATAGAAATTCTGTAATTTTCTACGGAGAATATTGTGTTGAATTAAATACTGGACCATTAAAGTTAATTTGACGTGATACCCATTTGTATTTCTATTATTGTATTCTATTCTATTATTTGTATTCTAGTAATATTGGTAATCCTTGTGAAGCCCTGGGAGGATGAAACCTTTGTACCTTTCTCCCCTCTGATCAGCAGTTCATACACTTTGTAGCAGTAAAGATTACATTCCCTGCTTTGTGGGCTAAATTTACAATCATTCAGTTCACCTGTGTTTCTGTTCGGTCACACAAACACACACACAGTATGAAACCGAACATGAGCAGGTGGCCAACCTACTCGAGGAGTATTTGTTTAAGGGGAAACCCATTTTTAGGCATTATAATCACTTCACTTGTCAAAGGGAGTACTATTCGTCCTGTGACAACAGTTGCACAGTGTACTCTGGTGCTCTGGAGGACATTTCTCAGTCGGAAAAATGACCTCCTGATGATGTCATAGTGATGTCCCAAGCGCAGGTTGTTGGGAAGGGTAGCGGTTTGGAGCTTGAAAAAAACTCCCCACAATATCTCAATTCTGTCTATTCTTTTTTCGGTCCTCTGTCTCAGTCTTTCTTCCCGGTCATATAATGTTAGAGCCCCTGTGGAAAACGAATGAATTAAAGAATGGAAAAATGCTTTAATTTAGTCAAAGAAAATCCAGATTAAGCTAAGTGTGTCAAGGTTTTTTGCCCAGCAGTTGGCATGAGCACTCAACCAATCTTACATAGGCCTTGAATTCTGGGATTTTAGGAGGAAGGACAAAGTGCTTTAGCTCTCTGAGATAAAAGCTATGTCTTCACCTGTCGCTTAGACTCCGGAGTACCAGTATTGACTCAATGCTCATGTAAACATTGAGGATCCTCAATAAAGGTGCTCTGGACTTGGGAAACAGGCTTGTTTTCCTTCTCTCCTGCAGATCATGATTACCCTTGATTTTATTCTTTCTGGTCAATCTCTATGTAAAAGCTTATTCCTGCAGCTCTTTTTTTTTTCCTAAGGTGATATACCTCTCAGCTGAGGCCTTGTGGAGAAAGGTAGCTGTTACTTTAAATCGTCTAAAGCTGCCATAAATTCCTCTGATGAAGCTTTAGCACAAACTAATAAAACACATCATCCAACTGATAAAACTCACACATATATTCATATATGTGAACATATATTCATACACATAACACTTGTGTGTATAAGCTGAACAGAAGCTTAAACTTAAACACACTGCAAACCTAACAAATAATACTTAGATGTTTCAAGGGCTGATATAGATGCTGGGCTTTGTACTTACTTATGCGCATGTACACACACGCACACACGCACACACACCGCCCCCTCATCAGCACACCCACAATAGAAACTGCACTCTGCTCCAGTGATTCCTCCCTCGCGGTCAGCTACCTGAGGAGAGCCCTTTCTGGACTGGAGGTAAGAGCCTGAAGTTGGTCTTTCTGTTTCTGTCTCCTGTTTATGAAACTTACTGCGTACTTATTTTTGAATCTCATTATGAAGTATCTCCAATGAAACTTATTAGGAGATGTTTGTTTGTTTAGTCATCATTTACAGACCTGGCCCCTGTTCAAATGTGCTCACTGATCGTGTGGTGAATTTTGACCTCACCTACTTCTCATGTGATTTTTGCGGTCTTTTGTTTGCGGCTTGTGTAATAATCAATTTGGCATATAAAACGTGGAAATGTTAGACCACTTCAAAATATAGTGTTCTATGAGTACAGATTAAATATCACGTCGAGGACTTCATCCACACTAAGAGTGCTGGTGGTAAAAGGCCAAAGTTCATCTACAGCTGACGTTAATAAATATTAATACAACTTGATCAAACTGTTCAAAACCTTTGATCACAAGGAAACTAAGCCACGGTGTACTGGCACTTACAACTGGTTAACAATAACTTGGCTCCACTGTAGGTCAGTAGTACCTGAGGCAAACTTACTTTCATTTAGTGTGAGTGCCAGACTCATGAAGGGACTCATAAGAACTGGAACACTTTTTGAGGGTGTTAATCTGAAGCTGATCAACCCCCTTTGATATAAATGACATGAGCAGTGATTTACTTGTGATTCAGTGGTTTTACTCTGTGTGCTATAATACGTTGACTAACAGAGTGTGACAGCATGAAGGCACTATATGCCACAGATTGACATGTTTGAAAAAATGCTGATAAAGTGCCCTATGGGATGATAATCCTATCCCTGACCATGCTGTTTCGCCATAAATGCATCACAACTTTGTGCGCGCTAGTGCCCTTTTTGCGCCCTCTCAACCCAGTTTATCTAAAAAAAATTCTGCGTTGTTATTCTTTGAAAATCCTGTATAGAGTTTTATGCTAAATTAAATTCAGACCACACTTTGACTTTGTTAGGCCTTGATAGTGATGCCTTTGACCTCCTTACACACAATTACCTCCATATTCCTGATAGGTGATCAACAGATCTTTCCGTAATAATCTTAAACACCAAGCAGTGCAGGTAGACTGAATGATTGTAAACCATATGAAGTTACTGCAGGACAAACTGTTTTCCCTGTAAGAGGCGTGCTTTTCCAAGTTCTGTAATCTCCCCACCTAATGGGCAATAAAATATCCTTGGATCACGGTGTCTTGGACAAAACATTTATGGGTCTTAAGTTCAAAGTATATTTGCCTGTTGATCCAGGAAGAGAAACTAAATGTGGAAAATCACCAGTTTATAAACCAGTGTGTAAGATTCAGTGGCATCTAGCTTTGAAGATTACAACCAACTTGCCTTCCAAGCGCGTAGGAGAAACTATGTGGCCACCAAACTCGTGAAATTTCGAAAGGCTCTATCTGGAGTCTGGGTGTGTTCATTCTGGCCAACTGTAGAAGCATGGCGATTCAACATGTTGGCCTCTGTAGAAGAATACCCACTCCCTCTGCAGATAAAAATGTCTCATTCTAAGGTCACGAAAACAGAACGTTTCTTATTTTCAAGTGATTATTATATATTATATATAAGACACTAATGAAAACATACCTATGGATATTATATTGCATTCTTGCCAATAAATCCTGGACCTTTAAGCAGCTACACAAAGACACATTTTATAGATGAATAATGCACATAATTGATGGAGAAATCCCTATGTAATATTTTGCTGTTTTCCCTTCAGGTTCCTACAGTGTCTGACTCAACGTCCATTTCAAGAGTTTATCCACACATTCTCTAAGGATGTCATACCTTCCCATTCTAGAGTAAGATGGATTCCTTCTATCTTTGGTAATTAATTTAACCCTTCATTTTTGTGGGCATTTACTTCCTCATTAGGTGATCCCAGAGACCTAACAGCTGGATGTACTGTATAAGACCGATTGAATTGAAAAACCAACCTCAAATATATATATATTTTTTTTTTCTTCTGACCTTATTAAAACAGAAAAGTATTAAAGCACTAGCACTGCCCTTTACCACAATCTGAGCTTGCACTATTGATGAAAGTAATAAAATATGGAAATGACATTAATCATTGCATTTACACCA